AAAAAAAAAATCAAAATAAAATAGCAAAAAAGGGAAAAGAAAGTAACTGTCTATGTACAAATATGCCTGACACAATTGATGTATGGATTGTAATAAGCATTGCAAGAGCTCTCAATAAAATGATTACAAAACAAAAAACAAACAAAAAAAAAGAAAAAATGCTATCAAATAAAGAAAACTTTTCAGTTAATTCCAGACATAGGGATAGCAATATTTAAGATGGACATTTGCTTGCTATAGTATTTTCCATGATTATTACCACTAGTCTGAATCTAATATAGAGCAATACCTTGGAAATGAATATTGACAATTTGATTTATAAGAGAAATGATTTATAAACTAAACATAGTAAAAAAGTTTTGTCTAGCAAGTGTATGAATTACAACTTCCAAAATTCTGTGGGCTGGCAACCTGTGAGCCAAGATCCTCTTAGGTTTCAGGAAGGGGGGGGAGATCAGCAGGTTCTGAGAAAGCCCATATCCCTAGACCTGTTGACTCCAGTCTTGATTCCAAGTGCTCTACAAATGTATCATTTCTGTGAGTATCCTGCTGTTGTTATTAGCTGCCATTAGACTGACTACTGACTCATGGTGACCTCAGGTACAATAGACTTGACCATTGTGATCCCACTCCCCCTCATTCACAATGATATAATTTTTTGTTCTGATGATGCCTGTTACCTGATCCCTTTAGCACCTCATGATCACACAGGCTGGTGTGCATCCTCTATGTGGGCTTTGTTGCTTTTGAGCTAGATGGCTGCTTGTTTACCTTCAAGCCTTTTAGACCCCAGGCGCTATTATCTTTTGATAGCCGGGCACCATCAGCTTCTTCCATGTGGGCTTATTCAACTGCTTTGTCTTCAGCGATTGTGTCGGAACTGTCAGCCCTGTTGTTTTCTCCTCCAGATTGTTCATCGAGTCTATCTTATTTAGACAGACCTGAGGAGATAATAACATGCACAAAAACATGACAGAGCAAAACCAAGCAACAAAATAAAACAACAACAACAAGCCAATCACAAAACAAACACAACAACAAGAAAGAAATGCTTGTAGTTAGTTCAAGGACTGTTTGTTGGCCTTTAGGAGTGTTTTCCGGTCGAGTCTGATGGGGCACCAAGCCCTGGCCCCAAAGTCTGTTTTTTGTATTTCCCGGGGACTTCATTGCTCTGTTCCCCTTGCTGT